TGTCAGGAAGTAGAGCTGCTAATCCAAACTCCACTTGCATTAGCTGCTTTACTTCCTGACACCACTCTACTCCACTAGAGTGGTGTCAGGAAGTAGAGCTGCTGATCCAAGTGTAGTTGAGTGGTGTCAGGAAGTACAGCTGCTAATGCAAATGTAGTTGAGTGGTGTCAGGAAGTAGAGCTGCTAATCCAAGTGTAGTAGAGTGGTGTCAGGAAGTAGAGGTGTTGGTAGCCTGTTCATCTTCTTGATAGGCGGTTCCGTTGATAACATAGGATGTTCCCAGTCCATACAAGTGGCCACAGTATTTGTCATCGTCGATGTTATCTTCAAAAAACATCTGTCAATAATAAGTCAAAACAGCCTTACCTCTGATACATCAATACATACAGAGTACGGCCCCAAATATTATCACTTGCTCCTTCAAACAGAACAGTCGGGTCCAAACACTGGTCAAATATTATAAATCAAATTTATAAACACTCAGGGTAACTGTCCAAGTTCAAGTCTCATTCATCATCTTTCCTTAACATTACCCAAGACAAACTTCTACATACGTTTCAAGATCACCACAAACCTGTCAATAAGACATCTTCTACTTACTGAACATTATTTATTTCATAACCTAGTAGCAAAGATACCCCAATCAAAAGAATATGTTGAAAACTAAAAGAGAGTGAACACAGAAATTAAAAGTAAACTGATATCAAAATAAATTCATGCTAAAAGTTAAATCAGTCTTAGAATTATTAACATCCAACGTATCAAGGAGTCCTCAGGTACACTACAACTCCAAATTAGAATTCACAAAGAACTCCTGAAACCCACAAACAAAAACTTCCGAGTCCTGGACAGACAGACGTAGTTAAAGACATCACAAACTATGACTAAAATGTGTGATCAATTAGAAATTAACATAAGATGATTTCTTGTCTTGAGAAAAACAAGTGTATACTGAACTCACAGATCTTGCTTCAACACCTTACTACTCAGAATGTATAAACTGAAATGTAACAAACAGTTATGTCAGTAACAATTTAACTTAGCCAGGAATAATAATGTAAGTCACAGAGAACTAATTACCAATCAATAACATTACCCATCCAGAACTAATTACCAATCAATAACATTACACATTTAGAACTAATTACCAATCAATAACATTACCCATCCAGAACTAATTACCAATCAATAACATTACACATTTAGAACTAATTACCAATCAATAACATTACCCATCCAGAACTAATTACCAATCGATAACATTACCCATCCAGAACTAATTACCAATCGATAACATTACCCATCCAGAACTAATTACCAATCAATAACATTACCCATCCAGAACTAATTACCAATCAATAACATTACACATCCAGAACTAATTACCAATCAATAACATTACCCATCCAGAACTAATTACCAATCGATAACATTACCCATCCAGAACTAATTACCAATCAATAACATTACCCATCCAGAACTAATTACCAATCGATAACATTACCCATCCAGAACTAATTACCAATCAATAACATTACCCATCCAGAACTTATTACCAATCAATAACATTACCCATCCAGAACTAATTACCAATCAATAACATTACCCATCCAGAACTTATTGCAACTTGTTTGTTCTTCATCCCATTGAGAACTAAATACAAGTCAATAATGTAACAGACCAAGCAGACACTGAAGGAAACAAACTATTCCTCAAAGAAAAATTGTTTAAATTTCTCGTCAGAAACTATACACAAATTTAAAAAAAAATTACCCCTTTTTTGTATTTCAATAGGTTGTAAAATAAAATAAACTTTAATTATTAGAACTTTTGTTGTTTCTTACTTTAATATAAGAGATGAAAATGTGTACAAGTCAGATACACTAGTTACATAACCTATTATTCACTTCACAAGCATTTACAGTTTACATAAAGCTATGTTCAACATTTACAGTTTACATAAAGCTATGTTCAACATTTACAGTTTACATAAAGCTATGTTCAACATTTACAGTTTACATAAAGCTATGTTCAACATTTACAGTTTACATAAAGCTATGTTCAACATCACTCACCTCTCTCATCTTGAAAAATGCTGCTCCAGTCAGTAGGCTGTCACTTCCAGCTTGATGTTGGGGTCCAATTCTTTCAAGCTGTTACACAAACCAAACCATAATGTTATCCAATTATTTCAAGCTGTTACACAAACCAAACCATAATGTTATCCAATTATTTCAAGCTGTTACACAAACCAAACCATAATGTAATCAAATTATTTCAAGCTGTTACGTTACACAAACCAAACCATAATGTAATCCAATTATTTCAAGCTGTTACACAAACCAAACCATAATGTTATCCAATTATTTCAAGCTGTTACACAAACCAAACCATAATGTTATCCAATTATTTCAAGCTGTTACACAAACCAAACCATAATGTAATCCAATTCTTTCAAGCTGTTACACAAACCAAACCATAATGTTATCCAATTATTTCAAGCTGTTACACAAACCAAACCATAATGTTATCCAATTATTTCAAGCAGTTACACAAACCAAACCATAATGTTATCCAATTATTTCAAGCTGTTACACAAACCAAACCATAATGTTATCCAATTATTTCAAGCTGTTACACAAACCATAATGTAAAATCTCCAACCACATTGTTTTTCAAGTCTAACAAACAGGACTTATTTTAAAGGAGTTTTTTAAGAATAGTTAATCTATAATAAAAATTAAATTCTTTAAAACTTTTAAGAAATTAAAATTCCATTTGTAATATTGTTTAACATGTTGTAATCCATTGCATCTTGACACAGTTTGTAAACTGTAACAATATATATATACATAATATGGACAGGGTTTAGTAAATTGTAACAACATATATTGTTGAGTAAAACATTATGTTAGCAGGGATTAGTAAATTGTTAGAACATAAACAGAAGAGTAATACGTTATGTTGACTGGGATTAGTAAATTGTTAGAACATAAACAGTGCAGTTATAGATTTTTCCAATGGTTACATTAATTCTTACATTATATAAAATGGAGTTACACATTATGTTGGCATACATCTATCCATAAACAGTACAAGACAGCTACCCTAACATCTATCCATAAACAGTACAAGACAG